GCAGGCTCAGTGGCCATGGCTCACGGGCCCAGCCGCTCCACGGCATGTGGGATCTTCCCGGACCGGGGCACGAACCCACGTCCCCTGCATCGGCAGGCGGACTCTCAACCACTGTGCCACCAGGGAAGCCCTCAAGTCCATTCTCTATGTCTGTGTCTTTATTCCTGTCCTGCCCCTAGGTTCATCAGAACTCTTTTTTTTTGGACGGCGGGGGGATCCATATATATGCGTTAGCATATAGTATTTGTTTTTCTCTTTCTAACTTACTTCACTTTGTATGACAGACTTTAGGTCCATCCACCTCACTACAGATAATTCGATTTCATTTCTTTTTATGGCTGAGTAATATTCCATTGTATATATGTGCCACGTCTTCTTTATCCATTCATCTGTCAATGGACACTTAGGCTGTTTCCATGTCCTGGCTACTGTAAATAGTGCTACAGTGAACATTGTGGTACATGAGTCTTTTTGAATTATGGTTTTCTCAGGGTATATGCCCAGTAGTGGGATTGCTGGGACATATGGTAGTTTTAAAAAAAATCTGTACAGAATTCCCTGGCAGTCCAGTGGTTAGGACTCCGCGCTTCCACTGCAGGGGGGCACAAGTTCAGTCCCTGGTTGGGGAATTAACATCCCGCATGCTGCGTCGCATGGCCAAAAAAATCAACTGTAAAGTAAATAAAATAGCAAGAATCCTATTCCATTAGGAGAGGAGATCAGATTACTCTCCTGAATTCTGCTGTTGCCGCTGTCCATTGTATCCTTTTCAGAATGGTGTTACTCTAGGCTTTAAAATTGATGAAGAATGGAATGCATTTCTTTCTCTCTATAACTGTTTATTACCTTTGGAAAATGTGTGTTTGAAAAGAAAAAGAAATGATGGGGTGATTAAAAGGGATTCTTGCTTTATCAGCAAAGATAGATCATTCTCTTTGAGCTCGCCCCTTCCTTAAAGGCATCTACCTCTTATAGTATGCCCTTCTGCTATAAAATGTTGAGAAAAGTGTTTCTTGCTGATGCCTTGCATACAGTAGAAATTCAGAAAGTATTTGTTGGATGAACAGCCACAGAAGGATCTTTTGAAAAATTGCATTTCCCTCCTGCTGCTAATTGTGAAGACTGACTGCCGGGTTATCCCTCCAAGGCCTGAGGAGCTGGTAGGCCAGCAGGCGAGTCTCAGCCTTGACACTTGAAAGCGTCATTTTCTCTGGGGAGCCTTAGACTGTCAAACTCAGGAGAAAGTGGAAGGTTTTCTGAGATTAAGAGGCCTTTTGCATTCTTTTGCTTGGTTATTTGGAAGACCCCTGGCACACAGGCACTCAAGCTCCAGGTTAGGTGGTGCTGGACTCGGGGGCTGGGTCCCACCCGCGAGGCTGCCCTCTGCCCTGCCGCGTCCAGGCTGCAGCCCTTCCTTTCCACTGGCCTCCCCGTTGGGGCAGCTCCTGAATGAAGCATTCTTCTGCTGCCAGAAATAGTTTTAAGATGGGAGAGTGGTGCCTAGGTGGCGAAGGGTTGTTTTTATTTTTATTTTATTTTGTTTTTTAAGTGCTGGTACACGAAGTCTAGACAGCATGGGTTGAGGGGCGCAGCCATACTACACAGTGTGACATTGTTCCTGTCCTTTGAGGAAAGGTCCCCGCAAATTCCAGCAGACGGGAAGAATCGCACTGCTGTTTCTAAGGGAAAATCATCTTTACGTGTAGCAGTTTCAGACTCTCTGGAATATTCAGCCAATCTGCTGTCCCAAACCTCAACTGCACATTCAGTTGTTCCCAAGGACATAAGGGCCAAGAGAGAGACAGACAGCCAGGTGCTCCCACGTGGAAGGCAGATACGTGTTTAGCCCTGATAGCCTCATCTCCCGGCAGAGCTGCAGCCTGCCTGCCAGGGTCGCTTGAGCCAGAGCTGCTGAGCACCCCCAGTGCTTATGGCTGGTTTCCTTCATCAGGGTTCTTGTGTAGCTTTGCCTAAGCTGCTGGGACCGTTTAGCTTAAAGATGAAAAGGAAGTCTTCCCGCACGCCTGCTTCTCCCTCTGCCTCTCCCTGCTCCCTCTCTTCAGATGTTTCTTGATCTGGGGATCCCCGAAGATGGCTGTCCACTCTCTTGGCCTCTTTCTGGTTTTTCCTTCTCATTGTGGAATCTTAGGATGCCGTGAATGTCCCAGACCTGGCTTCAGTGCTTCCTGTGGAGAAGAGCACAGAGAGAGGGAAGGAGGAAGGGGGGAGGGGGCCTCTTTGGCCACCCTTTGCGGACCCATGTACCCATGGGACACGTTTCCCTGTCTTCCCTCCTGAGTATAAGGACCAGGCCACCCTACTGTGACCTTCAGAGAACAGTGTTCCTTGCTATTAAGTGCAGGCGTCCTGGCAAGGACTGTGGCCACACCTGCCAGTTCTGCGGTGACGTCTGAGCCAGGGGGCCTGGGTGTCCATGGTCACATGCAGGGCAGGAATGAAGAGCACTGACATCCTTCTTAACAACTTTGAGCCTCAGTTTCTTCTTCTGTGACGTGGGGATGTAAAACAGCTCCCAAACCTCACACCCTGGTTGGGGGTTTTGAATGAGTGAATATAGGGGGAGTGCTCAGAACAATGCCTGGCTCACAGTAAGGGTCTGATAATTGCCATCCGTCACATTCACCTACGTATTTACAAGCAGCGTTGTTATACAAGGACATCACATGCAGTCTGGTTTCATGAAATACCAGAACAGTAAACAGCATGTGGTTAGTGCACAGTTAATTCTTGAACATCTAGAAATAGATGGTCTGCTCTGTAGATAAACCTAAATATTCAGAGCTTTTAGTTTTGACGTATATTTTGTGTGGTGGGTGAGTTCTTTAATAAAAGACAAGCCGCACTAAACCACGGGCTGTCGGGATGGTAACCTTCCAAACCTGCTGAAGCTGAAGACGAGTACGTAAGTCCTCTTTGCTTTAGAGGACTCTGGCTGTCTTTCCAGTGCGAAGTTAGGAGACATGGATGTCATAGACCGTGTCGCTGTAGCCTGGGTTTTTAAAGATGCGAGGGAAGTGCCGGCTAGAAAATCCTGCGAGTCAAATAAGATACTTAAAAGCTGGGCCTCGTTTTCATTCACGGGAATTATACTAAGCTTGATTTTCTTCTTCACGTTTTCAGAAAGGCTATAAAAGTGTTCACTTTATCCTCCTCTATCCGACACCCACAGACTTCCAAATAATTCTGCACAGGCAGATGGCACTGGTCATGATCCTCTTTACCCTCCTGCAATTGACAAAAGTTCTGAGGAGATTCAAAACCATCTGTGCCCAAGACCAGGCAAGAACGTCTTCCACGTGTGTTTGAATGTCACAGCAGAGAGTCGGGCTCAGCGCATATTTTCACGGGTGTCATCTGTAAGGCCCGTAACAAGCCTTCTCTATCGCAGAAGTGCCCGGCGAGTTCAAGGGACTTCCCCTCCTGCTGCACCGACACTCAGCACTTGCTGAAAGCTGCATAGGCTGTGCTTTCCCCGTGGGTGCCTGAGAGGTGGGCCAGACACCACGGCCTGTTCCGGGGTGGGGTCGGTGACAGGCTGTAAAGAGACGGCCCAGGGAGATCTGGCAGCGCCTCGGAGTCGGGGGGCCTGGCCCCTCTCGTTCCTCGCCGCGCCGACCCCTGCAGGCCCGTCTCTCCTGGCGGCTCCCTGACCACCTCCACGACCCCAGGGACTTCTTACTGTCTCTCAGGCGAGACAGGCTAAATCCCCCACCCCCAGTCCCTAGATGTACAGCATCCAGACTAGGGGTGTCCGCGTGGCCTTCCTGCAGAAGTGAGTACAGCTTCCCCCGACGGGTCTGTGATGGCAGCCCCCAGCCCCACCCATCACAGCCTCTCTCCTGCTGTGCTGCTGGCCTTTCTGCTCCTCTTGGCCTAAACCTGACTCTAGGGTGGGGCGTGGTGCTGGACAGAGCAGGCCAGCTGAGGGACGCCAGCAGGGCCCGAGTGGTCCCCCAGGGCACAGCGGGTGCCACGCTCATGTCTGAGCACAGGCTGGGTCCCGGGCAGG